ATGCGGTCGGCGTGAGAGGATAACAAACAATGACACAAGTATTTTACACAAACCAACTGTACAGATGAAACAGTTTGCTGGTAATGCATGACGACGTATGTCACACTTCAGCTAAACCCCGCCCAAAAGTGATTTTCGCTAATAAGGACGATACAATTATGTGAACCTGCACAGTTTATTTCGAAACGGTGTTCGGCCGGGGTGCATAAACCAAATAGCACATAAAATTGAATTTATGAACAAGCATGTTTATCCTACAGTATGCGTGATAGGAAACTGCGTAACTTGGAGGTAGAGTATAGAGCGTGGGAAACATGAAAATAAGCAGGTAAAATGGCGTGGGAATGGTAAAAATTGTACAATGTTTGCAAGCTGTTTGATTGCGTGACACAGATTAAATTGAATGCAAACTAGTACTAGTTTTTGTTTTATTGTCTAGAGTGAGAAAATGTCTCAAGTTTCGCGATTACCATTTTTGAGAAGAAAGTCTCCTTCACAATGGCACTCACAAAAATCAATGCACACGCTTATTGTCTGCTGGTGATAAGATGGTCTGACAAACTGTGCAAGAGTTAGTCACAGTAATACAAAACTTTCCAGACCAATTAGGCAATGCAACTGCAGACACATTGTTCATTTATTTATGCTTTGAAATACGTGTCTTCACGATTGGTTGGTTTACTGGACTTGAATACTACGATGCTGTTAGAAAGTGATTTCGGTTTCTCAAACAATATGCTAATTAAAGTTACTTTTCATCTACCTGACCGATCGAGTTGCATAAGGGCCACTTAATTCCGAAAATTGTGACGTTACGCAAACTGCAGGTTCACATACAATGGTTTTCACGTGAATTAAATAAAAGTTACACTTGAATAGGCAAACTGATCGAAATACATTTGCTTCACTTGCAGACCGTCTCTATCATGGATTTTTTCATTTTCTTCATAAAACGAACTGCCTGATGCGCTTCGATGGGTGAGTGAATGGTAATTCCGTTGGGGATGTCACTGTCTGTTTTTGAATGGACCGGAAAATGGTTCCATCCCTAAAATAAACCATTCACCAAGGAAGAAAGGCCTTGGATACATACCAATGCATTTAATTAAATGAAAATAACCATATACTAGAAACTGTGCTGATTTGACGATTCAGTTGATTATTTGCTGCCTCATTTATTGATCGAAAAGACTGGGGAGAAAAAAATGCATGATGTCCTTCAGTTTCATCAACCGTGAGCATCATCATATTTTGATACACATTGAATGTATCCTCTATTTGCCGAAGAGGAATCCATAGAAGCTTCATCAAATCAAATGAATTCACAATTATTTGATGAATCCAATCCCGAAGAATAAAAACTAATTCAGTGAATTAAAACCTACAATTTTCGGGCTTTTATAGATATGTCATTGATGACGGCATGAAATGGTACTTACGCGATGTGCGCTCAAACCATCTTCCTTTGATCCACTAGATTCAATTGGTGCACCGGAGTTTGCACGCATAGGGCCTTGTCCTTGGAGTAACCAGTTGACTCCTGAGATCGGTTCAGAGCTGTTTGGTCCAACAGCGTGAGCTTCGCTCGTCTGATCCGGCTGCCTTTCTTCGATCGGGGCTTGTATGTTCATTGCTTTCGAGAGAAAGGAGGCTGCTGCCATTGCAGCCACCGCAGCCAAGGCGGAAACAGTGGCCGGGTGTTTGCCCAAATCGATGGCACTTGGAGTAGAGCGAGTTAAGGACAAACCGGATTCTGGATATCTAGACGGTCCTCCTACTTGTTCCGCCTGATTAGGGCTCTCAGACGGAATCTCAGTTTGACATTCACGATCAATATGTGACGATGAGGGTAAACTAACGGGTGGACGATCACACTGAGTTTGACTTGGATTATTGGTCGTTGCTGGGGTAGATGCAGTGGGATAGATTGATCGGGATGATCCGGGGTTTTGGACTGAACTGAGTTGATCATAGTTCTTGGCACTGGTCTCACAGCTGTTCCGTAATTCTGGATTGGATGATGACCCAGGTTGTGTCCATTGTGGTGTAAATCCAGATTTGACAAGCTGATTGAGGTTTTGCAGCAATGTGGCTCGACATTGCTGAAGTGGTGGGATTAGAAGAAATGCTAATTAATTTTGATGGTTCAATGGTGTTGAATCGGAGTAGATAACAAGAAGTTCATTCAATCGGTTAGATTTGGTGCGCCTAGGGAACAATATTTATATGGTTTTCAATGCTGTAAAAGAGTCATTGTAGGACTGGTGTATAGAACAAAGAGAGAAACCAACACAAAACCAGTGTGACGCAACATAAAATCCGAAATGAATTCCAACGAAATGGTACATAATTCATTAAGGGGGCCTATGTGGAGGTCAGTGACCGCAGTACTCTATACATAAAGTCTAACAATAAATGAAATATAATGAAATTCCAAATACCTTGAAAAGTACCGCTCAATATTTTTCTGAGAATCTTGATTACTATGTGTGTATTGGATCAGAGGTAGCTGGAAACGGACAACACGGTTTGGTGNTGGTGGAAACGCTTTGTTTATCACTGAACCACCTTACTGATGGGATTTTGACATCACATGTTGTTGCACTGATCCATCAGCAGCCAACTCCTTTAGTTATTTCTCCTCAAAGGCATTCCGCTTGTCATTATCCGGTTAACCATGAAGTAATGACTATTCTACTCAAATGATTTGAGAAGTGAGATGTTTAACATTTGGAACATTCTAAATTTTAATTTGAAATAAACAATATGAATCTAATTTTAAGGCATTTCCTGTATAGTACTGATGCCGTTCATGTCCAAGTGTCATGCATATTTTTATTGTTTTTTTTTGGTGCAAACGAGTTGTCGCTGTCAGTTTAAGAGTGGGAGTCTGATACAATTGCAGTGAAATACAAGAAAGAAGTCTTGGTAAGTTTATTACTACAAAAAAGCTTATTTTACAAAACCATTTGGCCATTACACATAGTCCATTGAATTATAAATGCCAGTACTTGATGGAAAGAAACTGATAATCGTAAAAATCCAACTGCTACTAATGTCAAACCCGAAACCATTGAGTTGGGATCCTATTGTTCTAGTGCTTTTATTTAGGTTCATGACCTTAGAAAACCTTCCCTCTGAGGTGGAATGGTTTTCCAGTCCAATGAACTCTACCAGTTCAATGTTTTACTCTCTTTAATTTGCAAACTCATTGACTTTTTGTTATGATTATGTGTAACTGCTCCGAGAATCTCAAACCAGGGTGACTTTTGTGAGTTGACCTGTGAAATTTTCCAGGTTGAATACACACTCGGTAGACAGCCAACGTCAGATACAAATTGATTTAGGGACAACCAACGCTCGTTATTTGTTATTATTACATCTCCTGTGGTTTAGTTTGTAATTTCGTAATTAGTGGAGTATGTTAGTGCACAAGTAGCTGCTAGGAAAAAGTTGTCAAGTGATTGAAAAGCTATTCACATTGACTAATTTAGGAATCTTTTGTAGTATATTTCATGGTATCTGTTTGCGAAAGCTCATCAAAAAAATTGTTTTTGTGCCTCTTTCATCCGATAGTACGTATGCGTTACATTGACAAAAAAACTCTGTCATTCCTGATGGACGCCAGCCCATGATCTTGAGATAGGTTAAGTTCCATTGAAGCAGTTAGGGGTGGGGGAGGTTCTGATTCAATGAAAAATAAGCTAACGTCCGTTTATTCTGTGAAAATTAATATTATCATTCATACTATTTGGGCTCATTCATTTCTTTATGGCAGTTCACAGCCCGAAATACTAATTCTCATCATCCTGCATTTTGTCACTGCAATGCGTTGCGCTCTAAATGTGTAGCATTTATAGCGCTGTTGAATCTGATAAGGTGAACATAGCATTTAAACTGATTGATATATTTAGGGTTGAATGTTTTTACCTAAGGGTGCGTAACACTCGGCTGGCTGGACTATCTCAAACTAGTCAACTCTGAGAGGGAATACAACAAAAAAGAACAGCTGAAAGATCCGGAAGTACAAAGGTGGCGGTACAAAAGAAGTGCGTAAACTTGTTAGATCCGTACCGTCTAACATCCGGTATTTTAAAAGGTGACCTACCATAGGACAGTAAACCACAATAGATCTGCAAGTTATCAGAAAATAAAAGTATGATACTCGTTTGCGGTTCAAAGTTCAACAAAAGTATTATCCCGTTGACGTGGAAGCCAACAGAAAGCGATAACTTTGTTGAAGTGATTTAGAAAACCATATCATTTGTGAAAGCAATTCCTTCACATGCTGACTCCGGTCACACCGGTTGATCATCACTGTGATAAATATAAATGCAACTTTACCGCCAAGCATATATAGATTGATCTGTTTCCGTTCTTCTAATCTTTTTTCAAATGAGTCGCTATCAGAGCTCTTGCAAAATAACATTTGTTTCCATCAGTTTATTCGCACGGTATTATTTTGTATCTCGGTAATTTTATTCATGATTGTGATTTGTTTCTAGTTTCTTCTTTCAGAAAATGTATGCACACTTATCAGCCTGGGTAATTTGGCTTATCAGAGATCATCTAGACAGAAAAGACTGTGGGATGGTTGTTGGATCAGACTGAATAACCAAAGAACTTTTTAATTCGTGACTGATAGTAGTGGTGTGGTTCACGGAGCAAATGCATTGTGAATTGAAATTCCAGGAAACACTGGGTAGCTTTTGCAAATCTGGTTTGGTCTTACCAACAGCACTATGTAACTGAAGATGTAACTGATGAACTGCCTTGTGGCCATGTGGGTAATGTACTTGCATTCTAACTATGAAATGTCGGGTTCGATCGGTATTTGGATTGATGGGTGTCCCCTAATTTGAAGGGCTAGATCAGAGCAAAACAGCCGATCAGTGCTGCTTAGCGCTTCGTTTGATGTATACACGACGAATTATTCACCATATTAAATTTGAAATTCATAATGAGTAACAACTCCTTTCATCTTCATTAAGTATACAACTCACCCATCAAATTGATCCAAGAATCAGTGAAACACTTTGCTAAACAGCCCTCCGGGTGACCAGAAACAAGTTTATGATAACTCAGGCCTGAAACATTCCAGAAGACAGCGTAAGATGTGAGATAACACCTGACTTTAAAACGGAATCTACGGACTGATTCAAAGGCTGTTAAGGAAATCTTTTTCAGTGGCATAGGTACGTAGATCTCTGGGTTGGATTCACAGCTATCGAATACTCAGTGAACTCTAAGGGAGTTATCGGTAAGCACGCTGTCACATGCAGGTGCCTTTTTATTCGTACTTTCTTGGGCAAGGACTACATGCAGGACCTCGAACTAATCAAGCCGTGTGATGCAGATTTTGAGTCATATGCCCAACGTCAATGAAACCGGATTATCTTCAAAGAGCAGTAAGAGTTGATCCAATGAGTCAGCAAATGCTTGGGAAAAAATGGGTCCATATATCCCGATAACAACCAGACTGCTTAAACTTTGAGGCAGGAATTGGACCGCATAACCAACTGTTTGTTATATACTTAGAAAACGCTGTCTCTCTTATGCGAGCTGTTATCGTTTTATTATTTCACATGGCCGAACAATGTAGAAAAGGCAATATTTTCGATGTTTAAGAGAAAATAAGTCTCCATCGTCGTCATCATCATTGTCATCGTCATCATCATCATCATCACAATCATCATAATCATCAAGGTACCGTCCATAAGTCACCACTTTGATAAATTCAAGCTGGAATTTGAAAGCAGTTTTTCACTGGAACAAAAGATCAACACTCGGACAACTGTCGATTATTGGTTCCTCGGCTTGTAAAACTTCATTTGGTGTCAATCCGGCGGTCGTTCGAGTAATATCTGTTGACACCTGCGCCGTAGTCGCCTGTCAATAACGTCTTTTTTCCATTTCTCGCTCTCGCGGCACTGTTCTCATTTGGTACCCAATCACTCAATCAAGTTTGTTCTGTCACCCTTTAAGCGATTGCTTGCACAAGTACGCGCGAGAGAAGTATGCACGTCAACCTCCATGCGTTGCATGCACACACGCTGTGGCATGTCGCAATGTGTGTGTGTGCCTGTGTTCGCGTTCGTGAGAGCGCATCGGTCGACTAAAGTGACCAGTACCATCGGCACAGTTCGCAACAGAAATGCACGTCCAAGGCAGACGCACGGCAAGGAAACAAGCAAGTAAGCTACAACCACCCCTGATCCTCAGTAAGCCGGAAATAAATCTGTCAGAAATGTGCTCGCTGTGTGAGACGAGCAGATTCACTGAGTGATGGTATTGGAATGGTAAATAAACCAAAATAGTAATAACAAACGACAACAATAGAACAACAAGAGACACAACGCACAAAAGCATTCAATCTTTGCTTCGAAATAAAGTGAGTCGAGCTAGATAATTTTAGTCGGTTTTGGATCCACATTATCAATTGTGCAAGACGGAGTGGAATCTGGTATGCAGTTAACACGAGTCAAGATATTTGCAGGACGACATCCAAGTACGTGAGTGACATGTTATTGACGCAGTCAGTATGCATTATGAGATGGAGAGATTTTGATTTGTGACAACCATTGGTTTGTTTATACCAGTTGTTAGGTTGCTTTTTTGCATGTGATGATTTGTGAACCAGTCTACGAGGCAAGAATGATGAGATGCCAATCGAAATCAAATTTCCGGTTTTCAATTTAGTCGCGAATCAGTCAACAGTGAAACGCTCCACAGATTCAAGGTATTTGTCAACATTAGTTGACACTTCCAGGGCAGAGTCAGAAAGACTCGACAGCATTTCTTGCACATCCCGGTCGCCGTTTTGGCAAGCAGTACAAAGTATGAACTTCAAGAAATTTCTTTTTGATGTATCGCTTCAGGTGTCTACATATAGATGTATAGTTCTATTAGTCAACAAATGAACACAAGGCCTAAGCGGATGTTGAATGATTGTGCGTGTGTGCAGACCGTTCATTTGACAACAAGCTATGGGGTCGTGATAATTGGATGGGGAAAAACAAGGTAAAAATATGAAATGGGCACAATTTTAAAGGTATTAGTCAAGAATGGATGGAACAGGTTTGAAAATGTGAGAGAAAAAAGGAAGTAAATGCGAAACGGGGAAGAATG